TGGGCTAGGGCATAAATAGATATGATATATAGGTTAAAGGAATAAAAAAATAACAAATGTTTGCCCTGGGCTTGGGTAGTATAAAAATAAACAAACTATATATAATTGTTTGTTGGTAAAGAATACTATATAATTTTATTATAAGAGAGAACTAATGTTTTCGGTCAAAGGGAGAAATAGAGCTGATGAGAGAAAGTGTGTTTTTAATACTTTTTTTTTTGTTTGTGTTGTATTTAGGCTTGTTTTTCTTCTTCATATCTTGAAAAAAAGACGTTGCCTCTTCACAACAAAAAATTTAGTATTTAACATTTAAATGTTGCTTAGTTTAACATAAAATAAAATTCACTTATACTATTGAGTTGAACATGAAATTTTTTCGTACCATTGTACCTTGAAGATTTAGCCCGCCCTAATTTGGAATCCTGGGTCCGTTCCTGGAGAGAAAGATAACGCGTGATCTTGCGCGACAAAACAGTTTACTTCGTTCCACAAGGTAAATGCGACAAAGTCTATTTCGTTGCGCAAAGTGCGTATAAGATTCTAAAACATAAATTTTTTATTAAATTTCATTTCGTAAGGACTTTATGCGACGAACACTTGCTCTTGTTCATCATGCAAAGTGTGTACAAAATAATGAAAACAACAACATATTTTTTAAAATCTTTGCCGCACTTTATGCGACGAACATTACCTCATGTTCGTCGCGCAAAGTGTTTACAAAATAATGAAAACAACAACTTATTTTTTAAAATCTTTCTGGCACTTTATGCGACGAACACTTGCTCTTGTTCGTCGCGCAAAGTGTTTACAAAATAATGAAAACAACAACATATTTTTTAAAATCTTTCCCGCACTTTATGCGACGAACGTTACCCCATGTTCGTCGCACAAAGTGTTTACAAAAATAATGAAAACAACAACTTATTTTTTAAAGAGTTTTATATACTTTTGTCATAAAGTTTTATAGACTTTTAAATACTTATTTTTATATTTATTTTATGAATAGAATTTGTCTTTTAATATGTTGAATTAACTAGTCGGCATACATGGAACAAAAAAGTAGAAAAAAAAAAAACAATTGGATACAATTACTGAAAAACAACGATTAGTTCTCCTTATCATTAGAAAATGAGACAAATGACAAAGTACAATTATAAAATGACAAAATGCATTAGAAAATGTACCGCAAGGAAATAATTGGCGTTCAGCTAGCCATGATTCAGTTTAAAAATAAAAAAAACATAATAAAATTATACAAATTTGTACACTAACATAATAAAATTATACAAAAAATTTCATTTGCTACGTTTTACATGACAAGTCGAAAATAAATTACATTATTCATCATCTGAACTATAATAACCTTCATTATCGTCGCTATCATCACTTTCGGTCTCCCAATCCTCCTCCTCTTCCTCCTCCTCTATAACTACATCATCGTCGTTGGTAGGGCCCACTGCAATATCGAACTGCGGAAGATCACCGAGTTCAATTGTAATTAACTGAATTGATATTTCGATTAAGGACACTTCTTGAAGCTGAAACGGTTCTTGTATAACATTTCTATCTCGAAGTGTATCTGTATCATTTTCCATGGAAGATTCTAAACGTTGGTCAATGACGTTGTCGACGTCATTGTCAGATGGGTCTAATTCTGGTATAGCATACACATTCCTTGTATCCATCTGCTGAACAACTTTCCAACCGCTTCCGGCTTTAGGGTCATCTAGATACACAATATGTTTTGCCATGTTTGCCAAAATGTAAAGGTCGTCATCATACCAAGTTCTGTTCATGTTCACAGATAGTAAGCCATGGTCAATTTTAACACTTCCCTGCATATTTGGGTTTGTATCAAACCACCGACACTTAAACATGATCACTTGGTATCGGTCTTTGTAAAGCAATTGCACGATAGTTGTGAGTTCGCCTCCACCTGGGACATGGACACCGCTGTTTTGCGTACACAACTTGTCATATCGTGCAGTCACCAAAAACTTGACGCCGTTAACATGGCAACCCGAGAACAATTCAGCGGAAGTGCCAAGTTATATAACTCTTCACTATAAATGGGGGAATTCGATGATTTCAACTTATTCACCTAATATGATAGAAAAAAAACATTCACATGTTAGTTTGAGAAAATTAAATACTACAATATATATGTCAAATACAAAACACTTATAACTTACATATTCAAAAAACCATCGTGGAAACAATTCACGGTGTTTCTTGTCATACAATTGTGATGGATGTTCTCGCTTCATCATCTCTTCAAGCTCATCTAAGTATGCCATTATCTCATCACAGTTGCTGAGTACGAACCAATGGGCTACCTCCATGTCATTTCTGTCAAATGACTCTCCTTGTACAGGATCTCCAAATGGTTGTGCATTTTAGGCAAAAACAGAAAGTTTCTCATTTCTCACACCTTCGTCATTATAGCGCTGAGGACGATTGAAATCCGTCTCCACATCTTTTAAATACATTCCGCAGAAAGTAAGCGCCTCATATTGAACCCAAGCCTCTATAATTGATCCTTCGGGCTTCACTCTGTTGCATACGGATTTTTTCAGCTCTCCGAGAAGCTTGTAAAAATAAAACGATACGATTCAAATTAGCAAGTACCAAGATTGGGATAATGATGCATACACAAACGATGAAGATTATATACCTTTCTATAGGATACATCCAGCGATAGTTGACTGGACCAGCAAGCAATGCCTCTTCTGGCAAGTGAACCATCACGTGGATGATACTTGTGAAGAAAGCTGGATGGAATATCATCTCAAACTTGCATAGGACTTGGACAATGTCATGGCGCAGTTGATTAATGTCTGTCTTTCGCAACATTTTTGCCGTCAGTTGGGAAAAAAATATGGACAACAACATGATTGGCTTCACTACATCTTCTGGTAATAGATGTTGAATACCCACAGGAAGTAGGCGTTGCATAAACACATGGCAGTCAAGGCTCTTTAGTCCAGTAAATTTACCCCCGTCAACATTCACGCAACACCCAATATTAGAAGCATACCCATTGGGAAACTTTACAGAAGATGCAAACTTTAGAAATTTTTTTCTGTCATTCGGTTTCATGGAAAAAAATGCAAGATCCCTTCTAGCTTGATCACTGTCCTTATTCATCCATAAACCCCTTCGTATGCCAATTCTTTCCAAATCAAGACGAGCTTTGATCGTGTCCTTTGTCTTGCCCTCAATATCTAGAATCATGCCAATCAATGTGTCAAAGACATTTTTCTCAGCATGCATAACGTCGAGATTGTTGTTAAGCTCATAATTTCATACATATACATGCCCAAATTTACTTACTTCTTTTGCTTAGTTTCCTAGATTTCTATGTTATTTGCCTCTCTTTGTGTGTTTTGTAGGCAAAAAGAGCAAGAGAGCATAATTCATGCAATTCAAGCATGTTAAGGCCTAATTTGGATGAATCGATGAAGAGCTTAAAGACAAACTCATTTTGGCTACAGCCCCCTGCCAGTCCAGTT